AGTTGAGCTTTGGCAGTTGATTTCTGGAAGAAATAACATTGGGTGACCCTTTAGCATGTATACAACTCATCAAACTAGCCATCAACCACTCAACCGCGGTGGAGAACCTTGACTTCTGAGGTCAAATTTACGCCAAAATTTGCCAAATTTGAGTCTCCACCTATGTTGAGTGTACATTTCAGCAAGGATGCTTTGTAATATGAGTTGGTAGATGATTTAGAATCATTGGTATTGCAAATGGACTGCCACAGTCACCCTACAGCTCCTAAACTACAGAATAACAGATTTTGAACTGCATGTTATGCTGTCTCCACCTCGGTTGAGCCGATTCTGAGGATCCTATTCTATGAAATATGATTGGTATAACCCATAATATTAAATATTAGGACTTTGGAGCAATAAAAAAGCATGAGAGGGTTAGTTCTAGTCACTTATATTAACTCATGTAGTCAGTGAGCTGCTCCACCTGTGTTGAGCAGACGAACCTGCTCAACCGGCACTTTTTGAGTACCCACCTGTCTTACGTAACTTTAAATTGTGAAATTTGGAGTAAATATTTTTTTCATAAGTGATTTACAGCTCCTTTATTTTTGTAATTTTCAGGTGGCCACTGTCTCCACCAAGGTTGAGTTATTTAAATTTTGAACCCAGATATCATTATAGAAAGGTTAGGAGTATAATATCTGAAGAGCCTGTACCCCTTGGACTGTCAGAGGAATTATAATTAATTTTACCGTTCATGGCAGTGAAATGAGTGTAATTAGTGACTGATTTTATGTACAGGTTGTCTCCGAACTTGACCTACTACCCTTGCTAACTCACATGAGCACATTGCCAACAATCGAGTCTGGGGTGCACCATCCCAGACAAAAATGTTTACCGAAAAATAATTGGGGGGGGGGGGGGGGGCGGGCCAACCATATTAAAGTATATCCCCGGGTCAAAATCGGAAAAAATCCTACATTTTAATATACTTTAATATACCTACAATTAGAAGATTTATATTCTTCGTTAAGATTTACATGATGAACTATATTTTTCACTCAGATTCGCAAGATAAGCCTGTTTTAGGACTAGTACATGAATTTCCATCCAGATTGGTCAAAAATTGGCTGAGCTATGAGCTTTAAAAAATATGCCCATATTTGGGCATACACTTTTGCCCAAATTCGCTTTTGCCCAAATTCGATAAAATTTCAATATTTTTTAATGAGACTAACTCTATGAGAAAGATATAACTCAGTGTTTGTTGAATATAGTGGATACTAAGTAAAAAGACCTCCATGAACAAAATTGGGAAAATTGCACATAATATCTCGGTCGGAATACTAGCCAAAATGACTTCATTAAAATTTAAATAACTCCATCAGTTTTCAATATTTTTTCAAGAACTTTTTGGAATCGATTAAGAATTGCATTTCAAGCTTATTTTGGGCAACAATTTTTGATGTAGGCCTCCAAGGAGATAGGGATATATTAAAGTATATTAAAGTATATTAAAGTATATTAAAGTATATCCCCGGGTCAAAATCGGGAAAAATCCTACATTTTAATATACTTTAATATGGTTGGCCCCCCCCCCCCCCCCCCCCCCCCAATAATTTTTAATGCTGCAATTTAAATTGTTTATTTCTCGATAATTATAAACGCTATTCATCACTCCCCATCTTAAATAAGCTAAGCTAGCTGTAAAAATAAGTGGTAAACGGTAAGCATTAAAATAGTGGGGTAAGAGAATAAAAAGCTTTCTCCCCACTTCGGAGCATATTTTTTTCAGAGAGTTTCTTTCCCCCAATAGGGGACTCGTGAAGCAATTCTGGGGTACCCCACCCCAGAAAAATTTTAAGTTATTCCCGTTACAATTGCTAATTCCTCGATAACGCTATTCATCGCTCCTGTAGCTAATTATCTAAGCTAGCTGTAATAAATATTGGCAAGCGCTAAGCAACTAGCATGGTAAGGAATTATAAGCTTTCTTTCTTCAGAGTAGCTTACATCCCAATGTAAATTGTTATTCTCCTTTCCAAGCTTTTTTCAGGATCCTTCCTCACTTACCTGGGAGCTTCCTCTCCACTAAGGAAATTCCGACTTGGGAAAGTTCTATCCACATGAAATCTTCCTTCCCACTCGTGATCTTCCTTCCCAATAGAAATAGGGAGCTTCCTATCTATTAGGAATCTTCTTTTCTACTAAGACTTTTTCCCCACAATGAGAAGCCTTATCTTTACTGAGAAACTTTATTTCTACTAGGGTGATTTCTTCCTTCAGCAATAGCAGCAAATCTGGGGAAACTTGGTGGACATTGACTTTTTTCACACAATTTCAGTATGTTGACTTCAATATTATGTTGCAGCTTATTGTGGTTAATCTCAATGTTGGAGTGATGTTTTTCTGGTGCACAAAACACTACAGTACGGTTATGTTGAATAATTGTGGTTAATGGGTCATCTATGTGGCCACTATGGTGGTTAAAATACCAGTTTTAGGGTTAACCACCATTTTGAGATATGATATTATGAACTGAGTAGTCATTATATTGAGATCATATCATGGTGCAACTATCACAAAAGTTTTCAAACCTCATGGGGGGCATTTTGTGGTCCTAATGGTGGTTAAATTGAAGATGAACGGTGAGCTATAAATATTGCTCTGATTATAGATGTATAGTGGTGGTTGTTCATTTGTGCATGGATGATAATTTTTTATCACAAATGTGCAATTTAATAGTATGGTTGATTTGAGGTGGTTAATATTCGTAAAATGTGCTAAAAAGATGGTTAAAATGTCAAAATTCGTTGTTAACCACCAATCAAAACATTATTAATGATTTTAGTCAACATCTTATGGTCAACAAAGGACATTTGAAGGGTCTTGATAAAAGTTATCAAGAAATGTTGTCATAAAAGTGGTTAAAAGGGCTATATTACTTGCTAGGCTGTTGAACAAGGCATCTATTAAAGTGAAAATTAACCACAATATGAACTTCAGATAATGGTTTGCTATCCAAATGAGTGTATATTTGTTTGCAAATGCATAATTGACCCCAAGTTCATGCATTATGATCAATGTGCAGCTATGGTGGTTAAAATGTCTCTAAAATACCCTATATTTGCACTAATTAACCATTTTTAGAGCACATATTAGCTTTGTAAAGCTATAGCTGGCCATGCTACATTATCTAGATATAACTACCTGCTCATTTATATGACCAGAAACATTGCTGAGTCCTATGTTGCGTCCATCATGGTTAATAAAGGTCTAAAATTGACCAAAATCAGTGTTTTTGGTCGTTTTAAACCACTATACGGCCACACATTTTGTTGCATTATCTTTAAAATCACTTATTATCCTCCAGCTATCTCTCATAATCAAATATCAAAACAAAATAAGGCACAAAAAGTTCGGAGGTTGCTGAATAATGGTTAATTTGTGATGGCTTCTGTTGACCGAAAGTCCAAAATAAACATGTTTTAACCACATTGAGGCCACATCTAAGGTTTTATGGTATTGGGACCATAGTCAAAAGTTTTGGGCACCTGAATGGTGACCTCTGCTTTTGAAATTATGGTGATATTTCAATGCTGTGCCATACCAGGTGGTTAAGTACGCGCTAGCGCGCGCACGCGTACAAACATGGTTTTTTTGATATACCACAGTTGGTGGTTAACTGTTCTACATCAAACCTACACCAAAAGTATTGGGCACCATAGTGGTGACATAATATATAAAGAATTTAAGCCTAGACTAAATATGTTGGCCTACAGATGGTTAAGTACGCGCTAGCGCGCGCGCACGCGTACACTATAACAAACAAATAAACCACTCCACAGACCACATTTATTAACCTTTTTGAAATCTTTCTTCAACTATGTGTCAATGAACCATTTTTGTTCAATAATGACCATCAATATTAACTGTAGTACTTATATCTTCACTGTAGTAAGGGTTTGGGTGTTAGAGGTATAAAAAATGTCCACTAACAAATCAGTCATTTTTCGACTACTTAACCACCTAACTCAGCACCAAAATGTTCTGAGATTTTTTTCGTTGCACTATCATGAAGCTATGACATTTTTGGACCTATGTAAATAATCAGATTACTAAAATTCATAATCTTTGATTTTTAAGGGGGGGTTAAATGCTTCAAATTGGTGTATTTCAAAGTTTCCCCAGATTTGCTGCTATTGCTGCCTTCTAGTGAGATTTCTCTCTACTGAGGTGATTTCTTCCTTCTAGTGATACTTCTAACCAGTATGGTGCTTTCTTCCCTTGTTGGGCTTTCTTTGTTCGAGAAAGCTTCTCTTTCACTAGGGAGCTTTAGAAACTTCCCGCTAGGGTGCATTCTAAACACTAGTAAGACTTCTACACACTAGTGTACTTCCCACTAGGGTGCTTTCTTTTTACTGCTGAACTTTCTTGCGACAGTAAACCCTGATTTACTGCATCCCGATTATGATGTACTGCAAATACCAATTTACCGCAGCTCTCCCCCAAAACACAGCTGTACTAGAAAGCTTCTTTCCCACTGCGCTGAGGAGCTTTCATAACTTTCCAGCCACTAAAACTGGGGATCTTCTTTTTTACTAGTGAACTATATACTTGAATCACTAGGGAGCTTTTTTCCGCCCGGGGACTTTCCCCGGATCCTCTTTGAAATTCTACTGCGAATGCTACTATATACTTAAATTTTCATTTTTCACAATTTCCCGTTTAATCTGAGATATTTCCCAGTATTCTATAGATTACCAAGATTACTGACTTTTGAGAGGTCAGTAATCTGTCAGGAGCTTCTTATTCACTAATTGTGCCAACAGTGGCCGAGTAATGTGTTTTTTTTTGGGAGATTTTTTTCTACTACTAACCCCCGTCCCCCCCCCCCCCCCCCCCCCCCCCCCCTAGAACATTTCCCATACAACTAGAACATTTCCCATACAACACACTCACAAGGAGAAGTCCGCCTCCCACGTTTAAAAAAACATATTAACAGTTTATTCTCGCAGCCATGACGGAAATCGAAAAGCCTGCTTCCCTCGTGAAGAAAGAAGCCAGAGCTGTTGCCCTGAGCGCCAAGTTCTCCGTTTCTCTAAAGCAAGCAGAAATTAACAGACTCGCCAAGCGCAAGGAAATCGTTAAGAGAACCGCCAAATACTATAAGGAGTACGAAGCAGCAGATAAAGAAGAAGTCAGACTTGCCAGAGAAGCTAAAACTAACGGTAACTACTATGTTCCAGCTGAAGCTAGATTGGCTCTTGTCATCAGGCTTCGGGGAGTCAACAACATTCCTCCAAAACCCAGAAAGATCATGAAGCTCATGAGACTGAGACAGATTAACAACGGAGTCTTCGTTAAGTTGAATAAGGCCAGTAAAGAAATGCTCAGGATTGCCGAGCCATACATCACCTTCGGATACCCCAACTTGAAAACCGTCAGAGAGATGATCTACAAACGTGGATTTGGCAAAATCGCCGGACAAAGAGTTGCCATCAACGATAACAGTGTAATCGAAAAGGCTCTAGGTAAGTTCGGAATCGTGTGCATCGAAGACCTCATTCACGAGATTTACACTGTCGGACCTCATTTCAAACAAGCCAACAACTTCTTGTGGCACTTCAAGCTGTCCTGCGCCAAGGGTGGACTGAGGGTGGTCAACAACCACTTTGTTGAAGGTGGAGATTTCGGTAACAGGGAACACTTTATAAACAACATCGTTCGCAGGATGAACTAGTTCTATTTATTGTTTTTACCCATTCTATGATAGTTTTATTGTATTAATAACCAGACAATTTGTCTTCTCAACTAACGAAAACTAACTACCAACTAATTGAATACTGGGGGATGTCATGTCCGCTTATGTCCGCTTGTCTCACTGAGTCCATACCTCATAAACGGATACTTACGGACGCGCGAGCGGCTATTGACAGAAATTGTTATTAGCGGACATAAGGGAACGTTAGCTGACATTTTTAGAGATATAATTATCACATTATATTGTATTTCCAAGAAGTAATTTTGGTAATTAAATGGCTGGTCCAGTTCAATTCCAAACTAGATATTACACAGTGGGCTACCATGCTAGCATAGGCCTAAAATCGACTTTCTTAAATTTCTTTGAAAATAAGCTTTCCTTATTGTAAAACGCTAGCCCGATTTCATGCAAGAAACCGTAATTAAAAACTTTGCAAGATGCCAAAATGGCGTCGCGTGAAAAAATAGCATTTTTCACTGTCAAGAAATTTTGCCTTTTTTAGCCAAAAATTGCCTAATATTTATTATTTTGGGCTAAAATGCCTGATCAAGGCAGTTTTTAATAATTGAAATATAGTATAGTACTTAAGAATACTCAGCCATCTAAAAAAAACTGTGTGACTTTAACATTTTCACCTGATTTTTGACCGCGCCTTTTTTATGGCGTGTATTTTAGGCAATTTTTGGGGTATTTAACGACAGAAATCGTTGTTGGTTTGCAATAGTTCGGTATAATGCATGGTATCATCAGAAAGCTTAGACAATTCCCTATCAGATGCAATAAAAATCACTTTGGGCAACTTTGGGCAACTCTGTTTACAAAATTAAGAAACTCAAAAATTGGGTAAAATTTGCTGCATTTTTAGATAATTTATGAGCTCAATTTTGCTATTAAATTGACATATTTTAGTTATTCTCCATGTTTGTGGCATTTTTTGCATCCTAAACCAGATGCATATGGATGAAAAATCAAAATATCACAATTATTATAGTTAAAATTGATAAAAATCCAAAAAATCGTGATTTTAAACGAAATTTTTGAAAATAACAGGAACAATTTTGGTGTTTCAGAAAATTTTGGTCATATAAATGGGCACAACTTTTGTTCTGATCAATATTTTTTCATAATTCAAAAAGATTCGAGTTCCTAAGATAGCTGTCCTTCGTTTACAGTTCATAAAAGAGCTTTAAAATTGATTAAACCTCTAAAAAAACAACTTTTCCTGGGATCAGCCTCCTATTTTTGGACTACAAGATTGCTCTAAATCGGCCCAAAAATTTTTTCTGAGACATTTTCGGCCCTGTAAATGATTGGAATCGTATTTTTGTGTCCAAATTACCTTAGAAACAAAGTTAGGGGCATGTGTGATGGTCTAAAATACCCTATGCTAGCATGACCCCCACTCACAGCCCACTGTGTATTATGTAAACGAACAATCTTGGATCTTTACTGATTGATGAAGCGAAAATATTGGCAACTTAGCTACACAAGGAAAAATCATATCCATTTCACCATAGATTTATGACCTATTTGATTTTGATTGCCCGATTAGAGTATTGCGATTTCAAGTGTATTTTCATGATGTTAACTGTTCCTTAAATACACTTTTACCGAAAGTCACAGAAAGTTACGTTACTCCGTTGACCGTCAGGTCTGCTAACTCCTAAATATGTCAGAACTTAATGTCCGAATATCCATGTTCGATAATATCCCGTTGACTCAAAAGGACATAAGCGGACATCTGTGGTCATGACACCCCTCCCCAAAACTGTGAATAAAACCCTCGAACTTAAAGCAAGGTCATGGGTGCAGCGGCAATCTGACAATCTTACATTCTTCATCGTGAATTCGTTTTTCATTCCTTATCCCTCAAATAAGATTTTTCTTGAAGAATGTAGCTTTGTTCGGTTGCCACGACTGGTCGGATTAAACCCCATCCACACCCATATCTTGAGTTAAGCTAAGGGTTAACTTTAACAACCGCTGATTAGTGCTTGTTCTGATCAACTAAAATCTCAATAAACATGTTTGCCGAAAAGAAATGTCGTCCTAATCCTCTATAACTTTAATTCGTTTGCATCAGCTCGGTAATGTTAAAGTTAGCCCTTAAAGAATCTGACGATCACCGTCTTATCATAACATACTAACCCATCCCTAGCTCTAGAGCCATGCCTCCTAAATTCGATCCGCAAGCTGTGAACTATGTTTACCTGAAAGTAGTAGGAGGAGAGGTTGGAGCCACCTCATCCCTCGCCCCCAAGATCGGTCCCCTGGGTCTCTCCCCTAAAAAAGTGGGAGATGACATCGCCAAAGCCACCCAAGGCTGGAAGGGCCTGAGAATCACAGTTGAATTGAAGATCCAGAACAGACAAGCCTCAGTTTCAGTCGTTCCTTCAGCTTCTTCCCTCGTAATTAAAGCTTTGAAAGAGCCTACCAGAGACCGAAAGAAGGTTAGTTAGTTGTTGTAATATTGAGTATTTGATACATACGATAGCTTCTGTTACGAACTCTAGACTATTTTGTAGTGCAGTGTAGAGAAAGTGCGTTTGGAATAGAAATATATTCTTAATTCAGCTGAATTTGTGTATCCATTTAAACCTTTGAATTATTCCTAGGTGAAAAACATTGCACACAGCGGTAACATCACAATGGACGATGTGATCGAAATTGCCAGAACGATGAGGACTCGATCAGGAGCCAAACACCTGTCCGGTACTTGCAAAGAAATCTTAGGAACCGCTCAATCAGTTGGATGTACCGTGGACGGTCAGCCACCACATGACGTTATCGAATCAATTCAAAGTGGAGATATCGAGATTCCTGAAGAATAATTTTTTAAGTCTAATAGCTTTTTTTATTTATTGGAAGTCGGTGGATTTTTATTCGTTTTCTCAATCCTGCCATGAAAAATATTTCCACCTAATGTCCAGTTCCTAATGCAGTCATTACTCATTATGATATATAGAGATGCGTGAACTGTCCCCACATCAACTTTCTAATAAACCCGCCCCACAATGTTCACATTTATGATTTATGTTTTAGTGTTTCACTCACCAGAGTTATGTTTCACATACTGCACTGGCTTCGTGTAGGTTACACGCCCAACAACGTAATATAAAACGTATCAGATAATGTACCACAATTCTGTCAACACCTATTAAATCAGTATCACTCCTACAAGCCCGGTCTGTCGTCGTGTTTTGCACATTTTGTTGTTTGCTGAAAGTTGTTTAACTGGTGGTCTGGTGGGCGGTTCTGGAAATTTGTATAAGCGATTAGGTTGTTTGTCTGGGAACTTGTGTTACTTGTGTTGGCTGTGTTAGCTGTGGTGTTTAGTTTCTTGTTTTCGTGTTCTGAGTCGAAAAGCAGCTAGTGGTGTATTTCAATATCTCTATATTTGTTTTAACTAATTCCTTTTAATTTGAAGCTTGAGCCATGTCTTTCAACAAGTCCATAAAGAAGATCATTGATGACGCAGAACATAATCACAGCAGTGATGTTGACCTCTGTGACAGAGCGTAAGTAGATCATATCTTATCATGGACCGCAGTTTTTTTTTCAGTAAATTTTGATTCAATACAATTTTATGTTTATGAGGTAACAATGAGGTTATTCCCAGATTAAGTCTCCATATCCATAACACAGTGTTTCTTGTAATAAATGGCTGCAAACTCGTTCGCTTTTCTTACAAACCTCTCCTCCCACCAGGATATCGGATATAACAGAGTACATCTCACCGCTATCACGTGTCTCCCACCTGACCCGGATTACCCTATCACACAACAAACTAACCAACCTGCCAACCACCATCTCTGAGATCAAGGGTTTGGAGGCTCTCAACTTGTTTAACAACCATCTCGAGTCGCTCCCCCTGTCTATCAACGATTTGCAGGTGAATGCTTTTTTCTTCGTTTTCCGTACCCCTACATTTATCATCGGCCATGAAATCAATCGAAATTGAAAGAACGTAAATGGTATATTGATAAGATTGAAGAAAGTACGTTTCAACTGAAATATAACATAAACAGGGTTGCCGGGGGACCTTAAAAACCTTAAAAACGGCAATTTTGGGCAAAAAACCTTAAAAAAGACGTGAAAAACGGGCAAATTTTCGGGTTTTTAAGGTTTTTTAAGGTTCCATACCTAAATTATAGCTTGATGTAGATCTAAATGGATTTTCCGGATTAGTAAAATTTTCTGAAATTATACCTAGCTTGATGTAGATCTGATAAGATTTTCTGAAATTATACCTAGCTCGGTGTAGATCTGATTGGATATTCTGAAATTATACCTAGCTCTGTGTAGATCTGATTGGATATTCTGAAATTATACCTAGCTTGATGTAGATCTGATAAGATTTTCTGAAATTATACCTACCTCGGTGTAGATCTAATTGGGTTTTTCTGAAATTATACCTAGCTCGGTGTAGATCTAATTGGGTTTTTCTGAAATTATAATTAGCTCGGTGAAGATCTAATTGGGTTTTTCTGAAATTATACCTAGCTTGTTGTAGATCTAATTGGGGTTTTCTGAAATTATACCTAGCTCGTTTTTCTGAAATTATACCTTCCCCCTTTAGATATGATTGCAATTTCTGTAGCGGATAACCTTAAAAAACCTTAAATTTAACTGTTTTGGACCTTAAAAATGGGTCAAAAGGGGCCTTAAAAGACGTTTAAAAAAATTAAAAATGACTCTCAAAAGTGCCGGCAACCCTGAACATAAACAACCCGCAGAAACTGAAGCATCTGAATGTGGCAGTGAACCGACTGTGGGAGTTGCCCCGGGGTTTCGGAGCGTGTCCCATGTTGCAGGTCCTGGATATCACCTACAATAACCTAACTGAACTTCCTAACAACTTCCACTACCTCAACACTCTACGGTTAGTGGTTACTGTTACTTGTCTGTGTCATCACCTTGTATCTTACTGCTCCAGACTAGAACTTGTCAGGGTCTAAGATGGGGGACATTTTTGGTAAATTTCTTATCAGGATTTAGATGGGATTAAAATTCATATTGTATTGCATGAAACACACGTCAAAAGGTTTAAATATGGTACAAGATATTTGTATCCTCTCCGATAATATCCTCTCCGATAATATCCTCTCCGATAATATCATTTCTTGATAATATGCTGTTTTAGAGCGCTGTATTTGGGAGATAACGATCTGAAAGTAGTACCACAAGAAGTGACCCGACTGAAGAACCTGCAGATACTCTCCTTGAGAGACAACCATCTTACTGATCTGCCACCCGCTATCGGTTAGTTTTAGTTAGTGAGAAACAATTGCTGTGGTATTATCGGAATTTTTTTCATTTTAATATGTTATAATGCACAAAGAAAGCTGTGATATTTGATAACATTTTGTTATGACAGGCCAGATGTCGAAGTTGACTGAGCTGTTGATTCAGAACAACTTCCTGACTACACTTCCTATTGAGCTGACACAGACTGATCTGGCAAATCCCAAGAACGTGTTCAGGGCTGACGGTAAGAATATTTGTAATATTTTTGATTTTTGACGTGGAAACGAATTTGAAGTGGAATTTTGAAGTTTAAATATTGTTTATTAGTTCAAAAGACGTTTTTTCGTGATCAATGATTATTCTTACCTGTGTAATTTCAGGCAACCCTTTCCAAGAGGAACTCCAGCGACACATCGAGACTGGTGTCGCTCAAACATTCCAATTCCTGAAGAGTGCTGAATATGCTAAAATCATCGAGAACACCAACCCTGTGGACCAATCCAATGCTACCAAAGATAAAACGCTGAAGAAAAGTAGGAAGGGAGCAAAGAAATAGATAAATAGGCATAAGTACTGACGACTAAAACTGAAGAATTATTCTAGCTGATTTCGGGGTCATTTTACCCTTCATATGAAATGCCCGCTGATGAAAAGGGTATGTTTCAAGTTGAAAACTTTGTTCACATCTTCCGTGGCGAGACGAATGGAATATGTTCCGTCTCTAAAAAAAACTTCATCCTTTGAAAAGATAATCAACAATATACTCAGCTCTGTGATACATTCCAATACCAGCAACAATTTAGATGTACACTTAGTATTGGAATAGTTATATCATATACGATGCGGAATATGAAAACCGCGTTAGTTACGAATTTTGCTTGTGTACCGTGTGAATTTCGTGGGTTATTTTGAATTGAATTTTTGAGTAATTGTATTTATATGTTTACGACTTATGACTTCACGATAAAATAATGTTTTCTGTTAACTAATTCGTTAAATTTTCATTTTTGTTTCTGTTACGAGTTTATTTTTATGCCGGTTCTAAGAGTGCTGCCTGGTTCGCCTGGATCTGTTCAACATCACTGCTTGATTTTCGGTTTAAAATTCTATATTTGGCTAAAAATTGGTCCATCAACAGAGTTCATTCAAAGAAATTCATTTTCACGTGTTTTAAAATTAATTTGTTTTATCTGTATGTAGATCTTTAAAACGCCATTATTAGTTTAAAGTTGTAAATATTAAACAAATGACTGTAAATAATATATTATGTTCAAGTATGAATATCTTTTATACAATTTAACTTCTTATATTTTCCGATTAAATGGTGTATTTATTGAACACGTTCCTGCAACTGGCTTCATAGCAAAATTTAGCAAATAAGGAAACACCAATTTATACGCCGTAACAGCTGTTCTGCCACGTGATGTAAATACTTGAATTCAACTGGCTCTTTTACATGTACGAGTCTACAGCTATAGTCTACGGCAAAGCTGAGATTATTTTTAGCAGTTTTTCTTTGAACATCGTTAACATCGGAAAATTGTATTTTACCTTAACATGGAATAATGTAGTTCAGACGTGACCTCTGCATCAGGGCTATCTCAATACTGCGAGCTTCAGTGTTGGAAATAAGAAATAATGTCGGCCTCTCATATTTCTGCGCTGAGCTGCCCTAAGCCTCTTTTTGTACTAGCAGAAATTTACGGTCTTGTAAGAGAAGTGCATAGCGCGTCAGTATTTTTTAGAGATTTTTCGCGCGCACTCCACACGAGTTCGTACGTTCTATATCATACATGATGATATAATAGTGAAGTTTGGTGTACCACATGGCAGTACCGTACATGTGGAATTGTCTGTCCGCTACTTGTGACGGAAAAAAAGAATGCCCTATGACTATGTGAGTAAATTACAAGTTTAATCGTGTCCATTCTCCCTCCTTGAGAGTTCACTTAACCTTCCCGTCTGGACTGCACTCTTTAATAACCCTAGATTGACGGTACACTGATCTGTTTGATGTAATCTACACTAAAACATAGCACTGGCACGCCCCGTTGGTAGATACATGATGGTCGTTCCTATAACGGTCATAAGTAGCCGCTATCACTATACATGTGTGTATCAGTCTAAAGAAAAGGTGGTGAATGTGGACACATACACGACACGTTGCCTATACTAAACTGTTTTCTGAACATCAGCCACACATTATTTTTTTTGTATGGTGTGGTTCTCGTGTGCGATCTACTTGATGGCAGCATCGTGTGATGTATAGCACACACGCTGTCGCTATGACGACATTTTTGAGTAACTACGCGGTGCTTGCACGTGCACATTATTTTACCCTTTTAATTTTATCTACAGGGTACCAACTCGCAATTTCTCAACGCCTACAGGAGTGTAATGTTGAAAATTCTTCTGATTGTAGCTTGCACTACGACCTTAGGCTTACACGGCACAGGTGAAACTTTTCCCTTGTATTGTTAATGTTACGTCCAGTCCCTTGTATTGTTAGTGTTACGGCCGGCCAGGCCACGCACACCATTTACATAATCGTTATTTTGATCCACGGTTATTCACGATGCTTTGCTTCCTTAATAGAATATACCTCTTTTAGATCCAGTGTACGAAAAAGATGTAGATTCGCTGTTAAATGAAACTCAAAATCCCATACTCCGGAAAGAGTGGGAGAGTGAGAAGAGAAACGGCAAGTGGATTAGGCTTCAATCCTTCAAACTGAATCCTCGTCGTGAACAAATTCCAGTTGAAGACGATGAGTCTTATTATGATGGACACCAATATGATGGATACCAGCCTCGTAATCGTAGAAATAGCATTACCAAGCAGGCTAACCATGGTATAGTAGAGATCGTAGATGAAGCATTATCAATTGAAAAACAGAATGCTAGGCAAAAAGGACAGGCTCAGAAAATGGATCCCAAGCATTTGCAAGTAAAGAACTCTGGGGAATGGACCGAAGAAGATAATCATTGGGAATTCGATGAAACCGATCCAAGCTATAGGCAGATGGAGGAAGATAGTGATAATGATAGCCAGGAAGCTGCAGACTCAGGTCTAGAGGAAAACTTTGAAGAGATCGTAGATAAAGAGGTAGAGGAATACGATACAGAGCAAGGAAGACAAGCATTATCAATTGAAAAACAGAATGCTAGGCAAAAAGGACAGGCTCAGAAAATGGATCCCAAGCATTTGCAAGTAAAGAACCCTGGGGAATGGACCGAAGAAGATAGTCATTGGGAATTCGATGAAACCAATCCAAGCTATAGGCAGATGGAGGAAGATAGTGATAATGATAACCAGGAAACTGCAGACTCAGGCCTCGAGGAAAACTTTGAAGAGATCGTAGATAAAGAGGTAGAGGATTACGATACAGAGCAAAGAAGACATGATCAAGACCAGAAGAAGCAAGATAAAAAACACGGCTCTACATCCGAGGATCATTCAAACCGTCCCAAAACTAAAGTCGAAGATATTGATCGAGGGAATGGTGGAAACATTAAAAGTGACAAATCGGAAAAAAGGAAGACCGAAAAGCCGAGTGATTCTCGTAGAAAGAATGATGAAATAAAACGAAAGAGTAGTAAAAATGAAATAGAAAAGCCAAAAAGGGTCGAATCTGGTCACATGCCCGAACACTTGGTGATCGAAGACGAAAGAGAATGGACAAAGGATGACATTCACTGGGAATATGACAATTACTTGCCTGATGATTATGAGCCAAATACGGATAATACAACAAGGTCCGAGTTGGAGATTAATGGTGATTTGGACATAGACACATTTGATATAGATGGTGCAATCGATCGATATAATGATATTGATCGCATCGATACCAATCCAAATAATTCTGTAGTAATCGATGAGGAAGATGAAAGTGCTGATAGCGAAGACACTGATGACAGTAGGGATGGCATAGATGATAGTGACAATGCCGATAGCAAAAAGGATGATGACAGCACGGATACCAAAGATGATGATGACGGTACCAATAGCAAGCCTGAGATTGAAAGGAAGAGCATGATAGAAGATGACGACGGTGCGGATATTAAAAAGGATGATAGTACGGGTAGCAAGGAAGATGACGAGAGCACGGAAAGCAAAGATAGTGATGACAACACGGATACCAAAGATGATGATGACGGTACCGATAGCAAAGAGAATGATGAAAATAAGGATAGTGATGATGACGATGGAACAGATGATAAAGATGATGACAAAAGCACGAATAGTAAAGAGGATGATAACAACACGGATGGCAGACAAGATGATGACAATAATACGGATATCAGGAAGGATGATGAGAGCACGGAAAGCAAAAATGATGTTGACAACAATGATAGCAAAGATGATGACGACAGTACAGATAGCAAGGAGGATGATGACAGTGCAGATAGTAAAGAGAATGATGACAATACGGAAAACAAAGATGATGACGACAGGACAAATAGTAAAGAAAATGATGATAGTACAGATAGCAAAGAGGATGATGACAGTATGGATGGCAAAGATAATGACAGCGGTACAGATAGCAAGCCAGAGATTGAAAGGAAGAGCATGAGAGAAGATGACGACGGTGCGGGTAATAAAGAGGATGATAGTACGGAAAGCAAAGATGGTGATGACGACAACACAGATAACAAAGAAGATGGTGACCGTACAGATAGCAAAGAGGGGGATGACAATAAGGATATCAACGATGATGGCGATGGAACGGATGATAAACAAGATTATGAAAGCACGAATAGTAAAGAGGATGACAACAGTACGGATGGAAACGATGATGACAAAAAGGATAGAAAAGAAAATAGTGACCGAGCGGATAGCAAAGAGGATGATGAAAGTATGAATGATGATGAGGATAATGACCCCTATTATTATGAGAGAACTGAAATCCCATATCATAACGGTGACAGCAAAGAAAAGAAGCATAAGCCTGAGATTGAAAGAAAAAACCATGAAAATGACAGCGAAGAAGAGAAGCCTGAGGAGTATCAACCTGAGATTGAAAGAAAGAACCATAAAAAAGAACCTAAACCTCACGAAAAAATAGTAGTGGATGAAGGCGATCATACAGAAGTGGATGGAGTTATTACAATCTATGAAAAAGAGGTAAATTGTAAAGGGTTATAAAGGCATAATACATACTTATAAGCTGTTTGGTTACCTAGCTACAGTATTTTAATCCCGACAACTCAGAAAATTGATGCAAAGATAACTCTATTCTGACTTCATTGTTTCAGTTTGACATAGTTTCTAAGGAGATTCCGGCTGACAAGGAGATAATACTGAAACCCGCTTCAGGAGAGGAGATCAGAGTGAAGATTCCTCTGTTCACATCAACAACCATCTCCAGCGACACTAAGTCCTTCAAGTTCCACTTATCTCATGGAGGATTCCACGGTATACAGTAAGTTAACATCTAATCGTTTACTGTTTTGGAAAAGGTCTACTGCTGATAAGTGCAGCCGTAACTAATTTTCAGATCATTTGAGAATTCTATTTATTACATTCCTGAATTTCCGTATATTCATGTGACTTATCGACAAGATACGGCACGATCCTCTTGACAATTTATTGTAGGAAATGGTTTCTTAACATAGTGAAATTGGAAAAGAACGAATTCGGACGACCCACTTTCTTAAATGAGCCTAAGGAGTATGCTTTGGATGTAAGTATCTCGTTTTAGAGACTTCATTAGGATACTCTTATAACTATTAGTATTACAATACACTCTGCTTCTCTTGAGCAGAACATTGTTTTGTGGGCTAAAAAATGTGCTACCATCGTACTCTATTGCAGTTAAAAAGGCATCAGGACAAACCCGAGTCTAACGAAGCAGTAACAATCGCTGAATTCGAGCCGGACAGAGTACCTTTCACTTTCACAGCGGGTTCCGGTGACAGATACTACGAGTTTGCCAATGATAGGCTGGACAGTAACCAGTATTACGGTGTATTTATTGTCGGGGTTGTCTATCTTTCTCCAGGGGTAGGTTACCTGATCTTCTTGAATCACACTTATGAACAAGTTTCAGATGATAGGCCGTTCTTGATACATATTGCAGTGATAATCATTTTAACAAGTTAAGTAGCACATGTTAAGTAGCCCATGTTAAGTAGCACATGTTAAGTATATGTTAAGTAGCACATGTTAAGTAGCACATGTTAAGTAGCACATGTTAAGTAGCACATGTTAAGTAGCACTTGTTAAGTAGCACATGTTAAGTAGCACATGTTAAGCACCAAGCAGCTGTTTAAAACCACCGATATCCGCAGAAAAAGGTGCATCTGACTACGGGTTGGGTTGAAGACGCTCATTCTCCAGGACGACCCACCTATTTCTTGACGAAGAAGGGAGTAGGCCTTACTGTACACATCTTTGTGCTCCTCAGTATCGTTGTTACCTTCGGCGGTCTTCTTTTAGGGTGAGTTACATACTTATTAAGTCTATATTTCTGGGACTATGCATTTCAGACAGTACATGTCAGCCTACATATTGGTATGACTATGAGTGTGACTTGAATTCTTGAACGTGTTGAAATTTTAGATTATCCAACATAACAGCTGCTTTAATTGTTGCGTAATCCTTTTAACTTTATATTAGGGTGTGTATGATTGTGTATGATTCGCATCTCCAAACAAATCAAAAGTTTTAAAAAAAACTTTATATTTTAGGTGGTTATGGAAGAGAAATAAGCTGACAGTGCCTGACACTAGCTACAAGTTAGTGTTTAAAAGTTATCAATAGAACTTATCATCAAAAATTTTAACAATAAGGTTTTTTGATCACCAATGTTATTGTTACCATGGAGGTAATACATTTTTGATAAACAAGTAACTGTAAGCTAAGCAAAGCATCTAGATAATAAAATGTCAATAAGTTGGATAATGTATTTTTATTTCAGATTTAAGAAAATTAAAGAGAAAGTCAAAAAGAAAAGCAACAAAGAAAAGTAAGCTCACATAGGGATTGCAATACCTCTTGTTGCTACCAATGTTTTTGCTAAAATTTGTTTTACAGGTCCCACATCAGATTGAACTTTATCTTCTTAGCATTCGTGAGATCAATAGTGTGACTGAACTCGAATCACAGCTCACAACCTATGTATGGGGGACAATTATGTCGGAGGTCACACTAGAAATGTCAGATCCTGACCACTTGCACTTTAATTGCACCTTTATTATATTAAGCTGATGGCATGGTTTCTAATTAACGTTTACCATTCTTATTTCTCACAGGATCAAAAAGATCACGAACATCGTAATGCCAAAGTTGTTTAAGAAAAATACATCTAAAGGGAAATCGAAAAAGCTTGGTATGTATGCTAAAGGAATTGGAGGTTTTTGTCCCACATATTCATAAACTTCATAGGATATTATAGCAATACGATTTGGGGAGGGAAAAAGCCGCGGTAAATTGGGGATTTAATGTACAATAGTTTGTTTGTGCACGTGAAGGGTTTCTCCAGTTTGGTTGACCGAGTTTCTCCAGTTTGGTTGATCGATCATGTCTCTAGATGATATCATTATCTCTATCACTGCTTCGAGATTATTTTTCTGTTGAGATATTGCCATGTTTCCAAGATTTGATTCATAACTCGGTTTTCATTACAGGACGCAGCAACGAACCAACATCCTCAAACAAAGAACAGTATGATTTGGTCTCGTTTAAACCGAAGGGTCATGGTCAACACGAAGCACAGATAACTTTCAATAAGAAAGATAACAATCAATATTACGATGGGTCATGGGACGATGAATCGTATCCTCAGGATGATACAACAGCTGATTATGGAGCAGCTGATTATAACCACGATGAATACGATGAATACGGCCAGATGGTTGTGCCGAAAGGTTTGACTCTCCAGCGACATTTTGTCAACGAAACGGAACTTGACGATACCATTCTAAATATGGCTGAAGAGGAGTATGAGTGGAACAGTTCATAAGATGATATTTAGAGACTTGACATGTCTGACTAAATCACATGCTATCAGTTTTGTAATTATCGGCTATGCTATGATCGGTGAAATGAAGATGGTTGTTTCGCGTCCATCTTAACTGGTCGCCCGGAGCGATTAAAGTTGATGTCACTGTCAGCATTCAGTTTATATCAGTGTTACTGGTTTATATTCTTACTGTTTTATACAACAGTTTCATATCACCTTTTTGTTTCATGTTTGTTTTTTCATATTTATTATTCATCTAGCTACGGTATTTAAATTGGAGGAGGAGGAGTCAAAATGATACCACAATCAACGGAAAAATACCATCATTTTAATGAAAACTGCAATAAAAATCTGCGCCGCAACAGCTCAGAGCAATTGCATTATGTATGTACTACAGCTTAATGACGTCAGCATTTGCCAGACCCCCTCCCCCCTTTGCCTTCTTAACCCCCATACTTAATACATACCCCTGGCCGGCAGGATCCTGTCAGCCAGCTATAATAGGGGTATAGAATTGAAATGCTGAGGGAGGGGTTAATTGACGATGTCAATTCATCTCAGCTCGGCGCGGCACAGTAGCGCATCTCGCCGATCTAGAGAGAAGCCTCATTGAGGAGGTTAAACAACACGAGATTTTATTAATACAGGAACCTCAGCTTAGGAAAGGGAGTATTAGTAACGTCCCCAAAACTCACAAACAGTTCGTTCCCTTTAGTCAGGACAGAGCCAGAGTGGCTACTATCCTACCAAAGGATCTAGCTAGAAACTCTATGACACTAGGACATTTCTCCTCTGCTGACTCTATCTTTATTAGAAGTAGGATCAACAGCTCACTGTCGATTGTACTAGGATCACTTTACTTGGACCAAACACAGAACATTTCATCCGATATAATTGACAGGGTAGCACGGTTTACAGATAAGGAAAAGTTACCTCTGGTTCTAGGAGTGGACAGCAATGCTCACCACACGGCCTGGGGACACCCAAACACAAACAACAGAGGTCAACAACTTTTGCAGGTACTAAACGCAAATAATCTCATAATCTGTAACACAGGCACAACACCCACTTTTGTAGGCAGTAGAGGGAGTTCCTGTATAGATCTTACTATCTGCAATCTAGCAGGGATCAACTTAATCCATAACTGGAAAGTAGATCAAGGTAAATCACTATCGGACCACGAAGCTATTTGTTATTCCCTAGATTTAGGTAACAGAACAAGTTTTGCGTCACGCAGTCCGGCGAAATGTGACTGGCAACTTTATGAGACGCTAGTTTCCTCCTCATTCGATAACACCCCCTTCTGGTTTAAACCGGTTGTTACATCGGCGGATCTCGATGACAGACAGTTGTTTATCTCCAACACCCTTCTGCGCTCCTTTGAGCTAGCATGCCCTCTGACAAGAGGCACAAGAAGATCGACTGTACCGTGGTGGAATGCTGAACTGACGAAAGCCAAGCAGACGGCAAAAGCCCTGCGACGTAAATTTAACAGAAAGAGAAACAGCCCGGACTGGGAACTTTATGCTGAAGCTAACAGACGATATGCAAACCTCATCAGAACGGCGAAAAGACAAAATTGGAAACAATTCACAGGAAATATTACCAAGATCCCTGCTTTATCACGTATCCATAAAGTTCTAGGAAATAACGGAACACAAGGCTCGCTCAATAGTTTAAGGAAACCAGACGGTACTTTAACTAACTCACCCCAGGAAACTCTACAGGTACTCACCGATGCTCTCATACCATCGGACGGTAGCCCAGCCCTGCCAACACAGCAGAGTGCACCAGATGTTGCAATGATTCTCAAGATTACGGCACCACATCGCTTGAATCGGGCAGTAAAAGATCTTAACATGAACAAATCACCAGGTCCAGACGGAATTAGAAATGAGATGATCATAAAAGCTTGGAATAAAATAAAGGACCCTTTAAGAATGATTTTCCACCATTCATTAGCTCTAAGCTGTACACCAACCTCGTGGCAATCTACAACAGGTTGTGTAATCCCGAAGCCTGGAAAACCAGATTACACAAACCCCAAGGCATTCAGGATAATTTCACTAACATCCTGTTTCCAGAAACTTCTAGAACGACTTATCCTCTGGTATCTCGAACAGGACCTCAAGATCCCAGCGAAACTTACTAAGAGTCAACACGGTTTCAGGAAAGGGAAATCAACAGAATCAGCAATACATATACTAACAAGGAAAATTGAGGACGCCGTGGCAACAGGAAATTATGCTCTTGGAATCTTTCTTGATATCGAACAGGCATTTGATGCAATTAGTTTTCAGGCAATCAAAGATGCACTGTTACAAGCAGGGATTCCGGAAACAATCACAAACTGGATCTACTACATGGTAAGTAACAGGATGATCACAGTCACATACTGTGGTCACGATACCACAAAGAAAGCAACTAAAGGAAGTCCACAAGGAGGAGTTCTGTCCCCACTTCTATGGAACATAACGCTGGACACTTTCCTCAGCTCACTAGGAATACACACTAGTTTTGTCCAAGCCTTTGCGGACGACCTGGTAATACTAATCAGCGGAATTTGTAAAACTACGGTTCAGGAAATTTCTCAACGGCATCTAACTAACATCAACAGGTGGTGTGCCAGTAAAGGTCTCAAACTTAGTGCGTTAAAATCTAAGGCAATCCTTTTTACAAATAAAAGGGATAATATGCTTACTAACCCACTAATGGTAGGTAATAATCAGGTCCCTCAGGTAACTGATACAGTCTATCTAGGAGTAACCATTGACAGCAAACTATCATGGGGGAAGCATATTCAGGTGAAATGTAACAAAGCGGTACAACATCTTCAGGCATGCAACAGAGCAGTTGGCAAAACGTGGGGTATTACACCTACAGGGACGAGATGGATATATAACCAAATTATTCTCCCTTCTCTAGGTTACGCTGCATTCGCATGGCAGCATAGAATAGACGAAGCCCAATACCTAAAGACCAAGATGCAGGCAATTCAGAGACACGCTAGTATCATGATATCAAGAGGACTCAAAAGTACACCACTAGAAAACTTGGAAATCATGGCAGGAATCAAACCCATTGATCTAAAACTCAAGGAACTGGCCATACTTTCAGCTCGGAGACTCAAAATTAACGGTAATTGGAATTCTAACTACCAGTTTAGCAGAACAGGAAACTGTAAGTCCCATGCATACAATCTGGACAAAGCTATGTCAACCATACCAGCGATGAAATGTAAAATTACGGACATTATCGAAACTACCACAGTTTTGGATCGGAAGTTTAAAACAATAATACAGGAGCGGTCTAAAGCAACACAGCAGGTCGGAATCACCCCAGCAACACACTGGGCTATTTTCACAGACGGCTCAAAAATAGAACAGTTCTCAGGTGCAGGTTACTGCGTAATAAGAAACGCAAGCGAGGTCCAGAGACAAAGTTTCCACCTAGGCACTAATGCAACGGTATACCAGTGTGAACTGTTTGCTCTCAACACATCAGCTCACTGGGCAACTATCAATATTTCAGAACCTGGGAGTATAACATTCTTTTCAGATTCACAGGCAGCAATCCTAGCAGTCACACACCACACGGTCACATCTAACTTAGTTCTTGATACCATTAACTACCTTAACAAACTAGGACAAACCCACTCAGTCAATGTCAGGTGGGTCCCAGGACATGCAGGTATTCCAGGAAACGAAAGAGCTGATGAACTAGCCAGAGAAGGATCACTCACAATCGCTTTAGGTCCTGAACCCTTCATCAGCATATCCGAAGGAGCAATTAAGACGGCAGTAAAGGAGTATTTACACGGAATTCATCTTCGTAGATACAGGAACACGGCACTGAGCGAGAAAGGGAAAATACCACTAACAATCCTACTCACCAAATATAAATACAGGAATCTTGGACTTGCAGGAAATCATCAAAGATGGCTAACCTGGCTCTTCACAGGACATAGCCCCCTAGCCTACTTCCAATACAAGGCAAACAATTTCACATCCCCCCGTTGTGAACACTGTCCAGAAGAGGAAGAAACCTCGGAACACTTCATGTGTCACTGTATAGGATACATGACCATTAGGCTAAGAATTTTCGGTAATATATTTCTAACCTGGGAAGACATAGTATCAGCTAGAATTAGTACGGTTATAAAATTTATCGAGGCAACCAATAGACTACTAAAGGAGGATCTTTTCGAGGATCCCATCAACCACTAACACAAATAGGACATCTTGCAGTTTTATAGGCACTGACCGTCCCTGGAAGTCCCTGTCTCCCCATCGTTAACCCGTAAGGGGTTGCACCAGGGGCGGTGGTAACAGCACTTCAAGACTCTCGGAGTCTGTTGTCGATATCTATGTATAATATATTTATGGTATATAATTTGGGAGTCTCTCTCTCCAGCAGCAGGAGTTGGAGAATGGGGACGCGTTGTGAAAGCCACCGCAAGGAAGGCTTACAGTCGACGCCGACCAATCAAAAGAAGAGTGCGCGGCGCAGCACAGTAACGCATCGCGCTACAAAGGGAGGGGATGTAGGCAGGGAAAATTATTGTGTGATTGATTTAAGCAGTTCGTCAACAGAGTTCAGTTCAAGTACTAATATTAAGGAAATTAACGAAGTTTTATTGTTAGTAAAATTGATTTGAAGCAGAATAGCTAGATTCGGCGGAATGACAGGCTGAGCGCGGCCCAGTAAAGGTTTACTTGTCCATTGTTAATAGGTTAGCCCGTTGACCATTGTTAATGATCTGGCTCGGCGCGCGCTACTTCGTAGCACTTGCTTTCGTTCGAGAAGAAAGCGGCGCACTACTTCGAAGAAATTTAGAAGAGTAAAATTGAACATCCGTCAAATTAGCCCGGCGTAGCACTTGCCTCGGGATAACATTTCGAGTAGATTCACGATGTCAATCCTTCGCATCCCGCCGATATGCATACGGCATGGTTGCGAGAAGCGTTATTTGATGCGCGCGCGACCCAGTAGTGCATCGCGCTACAACATTTCGAGAAGAAAGCGGCGCGTTCTACTTCATACTTCGGAGAAATTTAAACGAGTAACATCCGTCAACAGTCAAAGCACAAAGTGCAAATATTCAAAAATTATCACATAAAAATAATTTTTCGGAGGACTTCGACGCACCACGCAAACTATCATTTTTGCTTCGCGCAGAGCAACGATCTCGATGCTTGATTGTATCACGTCGTGATCGGCCATTGTCA